CTCCCCCAGCAGACCAGGGAGACGGGGAGCAGCTTTTCTCGCCATGGAGGAGGCGGGCAGCGGGACCAGACGTCCCGCCGCTCCAGTCCTCTGGGGCGAGAAAATCCCCGTTCGTAACTGCGGATCCGACATAAGTCGGATCCGCGTAACTCGGGGACTGCCTGTATATACATTTTTTTTGGACCAATATCTTTGTTTGTGAAATAGGCAAGCTTTTGAGCTACACAGAGCTCTTCTTTAGGTCGTGAAGTTAGTCCAATAAAAGATACCGTATTTACTCGAGTATAAGCCGAGTTTTTCAGCAAATTTTTTGTGCTGAAAAATGCCCCCCTCGGCTTATACTCGAGTCAGCGTCTCGAGAACTGAGGAAAGTGAGTACGCTGGTCAGGTTCTAAGGCATCCAGGTTGTCGTATCTGTCAGGAGGTGTTATTGTTATGGACTGCGTGAAGTTAGTCCAATAAAAGATACCGTATTTACTCGAGTATAAGCCGAGTTTTTCAGCAAATTTTTTGTGCTGAAAAATGCCCCCCTCGGCTTATACTCGAGTCAGCGTCTCGAGAACTGAGGAAAGTGAGTACGCTGGTCAGGTTCTAAGGCATCCAGGTTGTCGTATCTGTCAGGAGGTGTTATTGTTATGGACTGCGCTGTAAATTCATCATCAAAGTATCTCGTGTCAATTTCTGAGGTCTGAAAGCTCTATGTATGTGCGATGAACAGCGCACATACATAGGCTTGTTGGCTGCACAGTGACTGCCAGTGATTGGCTTGTCACTGTGCTGTGGGCAGGGGGCGGGTCCGGAGGCAGAAGCGCGGCTCGGCGCAGGCTGAAGAGAAGAGATAAGGTAAGGGGCCTGAATGGAAAGGATAAAATCCTTATGGAAAGCAGGATCTGCCCAGGGATTGTGGAAATATTTTATCCTCTGTGTCGGGGGAATGGTATATGTGGAGAGGGAGTTGCCATCTGCAAGTTTCCCTCAGCTAAAAACACGAAAACAGCTAGGAAGCCGGGACACCTGAGGAAAAGAGCTATGGGGAGCTGATTGAGCTTGGTTGCTGATTGAGCTAAGGTTGTTGTACTTTTAAAGTTACGGTATTTTTGATACCATATTGTTTTTGTTGACCCCCTTTTCCACTTACAGAGCTAGGTTATTGTTTTTCTTTGAAATAAATATTCATGTAATTTTATTGGTATCTATCTTCATTTTTTACATTTACCAGCAGCTGCCTCATTTCCTACCCTAGGCTTATACTCGAGTCAATACTGTTTCCCAGTTCTTTGTGGTAAAATTAGGTGCCTCGGCTTATAATCGGGTCGGCTTATACTCGAGTATATACGGGTAAGCTAAATGTGATTTTTTTGCTTCAGTAACAAATTGATGCTATTTGGCATCAAGACCACAGACTAACATTCCCAAAGGTGGCCATAATTTAAGGTTTAAAACCATAGACCATAAATTAGTGGCAGACCAGGCTTTTGTTTAGGACTCTGGGGCAAAGCAGCTGGGGCGCTGCCGATTGGGCTTCCTGGAATCAGCTGCTGATCAGTTTCAGCAGCAGCTGACTTGGGGACGCCTGGGGTTCTTAAGTTGATTCTGTATGTAAGTCAGAACTGGCGGTCAGTTTCAGCAGTGTCTGAATCTGGACGCCAGTTCCGACTTACATACAGATTCAACTTAAGAACAAACCTATAGTCCCTATCTTGTACGTAACCCGGGGACTGCCTGTACTGTTTTATTAAAAATATTTAATCTGTCAAACTGCTGAATAGTTTCATATTAGTACAGTAACTTACGCCAGATTGTTAGTGCACTAAACACAAGAAAGACTGAATACTAGGACAATTGTCTGAAGAAATGTATTTAATACAACTGAATATTGGAAGGTACGTAGGAACAATTAAAGGGTTCTACTTTAAAAGAAATTACTGCCCTTCCCTGGTGGATTTGACTAAATGTTGTAGATAGAAATTCATTATACTCTTGGGTCTCGTTTATATACCAGTTGAATGACAATTGGTTTTGCCAGTATTTCACAATAAACTTTTAAGAGAATTTATAATCCAGAGCATATTAAAAGTGCTCAGTTCAGTTCCTAAAACTTGTGAAAAGAAATGAAATGCCACATGTAGCTTTATAGGAACTTTTTAAAAAATGATATATTAAAAGGGTATAAAACATTTCTAAGATTAAGTTGGAAGTATTTTACTTAAACTTTCATGTACTTGAATAGCTGCTGTAGATTGGCAATGATGCTACATTAGGTGCTATTTTTACTTGTTGTGGAAGAGGGCAGATTTACTATATTTTTCTTTCAACTTTTTCTACATACTGCATTTTGATGTTCGTAGAGCTGGGACTGCTTCTAAGTGAGTTAAATACATTCCAATATGCTTTCTTAAAAAACTACTCCATAATAGTTTGTCAGTGATGATGACAATGTCTATGCTGATAACCTCACACCAGCTGAAGCTCTGTTTGGACATACAGATGATGAGGAGGAGAACTCCAGTTTTGAAGGATTTTAGCTCTTGTGTGTTAGCTTGGTTGCTGATTGAGCTAAGGTTGTTGTACTTTTAAAGTTACGGTATTTTTGATACCATATTGTTTTTGTTGACCCCCTTTTCCACTTACAGAGCTAGGTTATTGTTTTTCTTTGAAATAAATATTCATGTAATTTTATTGGTATCTATCTTCATTTTTTACATTTACCAGTAGCTGCCTCATTTCCTACCCTAGGCTTATACTCGAGTCAATATTTTTTCCCAGTTCTTTGTGGTAAAATTAGGTGCCTCGGCTTATATTCGGGTCGGCTTATACTCGAGTATATACGGTACCTCACCTGCCTCATCTCTCTAATATTTTGGGCAAAAAATAGTTATAACACTGCAAACAAATCAAGACAGATCAGTGAGTTCTAAAATAAGCACTAAATAAAACCTCCTCCTGAAACTGACTCTGGAAGGGTGGATTTTGCATTTGCACAGAACCTGTTGACTTGAATGGATCATTTTGGCAGATTGGGGGGCTAAACAAGTATCTACAGAGAAGCTTATATTAAGTAGTCTCTGAAGAAGATAACACTAAATGGTTGCCAAATAGAAGTGGTCTCCTAATTGAAGTTCAACAGATAAGTCTTCAGTACATATGAAGAATCTTTGAGTTGGACTCTTTGGACTGCCTAAAAATGGTAATTCCTTGTACAGCTTTCACTGTATTCAAACTTCTCTCATTTTTTCATTCAGTTATTTGTGGCAGACATAAAATTTTTAATTCTCAATGTAAATATGCAAAATTCCTATCCAAAAGTTCTAGGTGCAATAACAGATTTTTAAAATAGCAATCCTTAAAAAGAATAACAGGGTCATGGAGGATAAAGAGGAATCCTCAGGAAATCTCCCATCATATCTAGCACTGAGTATTTTGGAGAGAGTATTTTAAAAACTCTAATATGCTACATATTACCTGAACACACATGGTTCTGAATGCTATGAATCAAGAAGGAAGTCTTGTTTTAATAATTTAATATTTAATAATAATATTATAAAGTACATTTAAAAGTACATGCAACAACCTATATAAGTACTTAAGGTTTATTAGTATGCTGTTGGCTCGTAAGAAAATTAAAGTTTCCCCAAGCAAAAGTGACCAAAAAAAAATACTTTAGATAGTAAGAAGT